TCCCTCACCGCGCATGATGCTCCGTACAAGTGCTCACAGATGACACTGTGGTGATGTTTTATCTCACAAGCAGGGAGGGGCCAGGGCAGACCCCTCACACCAAGAGGTGTTGGCCCTCTGGAATCTCTGCATCAAGAAGAGAATCCCCCTTCGAGTGTCTCAGCACGCCCTGGCAACCTGCCTCAGCAGGTCATTCAGCAGAGATCAGAAACAATCTCTCAGCTACAAGGGAGTGAAGTTATTTTTTCAGGTTGTCGGGGTGCCAGAGCTGGACCTCTTCGCCACCCAACAGAACAAATGCCTCCTATTGTCTCTGGAGGTCAAACTTCTTTATGCTCCCGCCCATCCCTATGGTGCCCAGAATGGTATCCAAACTCACACAAGATTGAGCTGTTTTTATTGATGGCTTGGCCTCAGCCTCACTGATTCGCCGACCTTTTGAGCCTCCCCAGTTGGGATCTAAGGCCTCTCCCTCAGGAACCAAAAATCATTCCTCAGGACTATGGCCAGACTCTGCAGCCCAGCCCTCTCCTGGCTGCGCAAGGATTAGATCATCACTAGCTGCCTGCTGTGCTGTGGGTCAACATGTTCCTTCGAACAGCAGAGACTCGTCTACCAGCTCTGCTTGCCGTCCTAGCAAAGCACTCTCTCTTCACAGGCTCCTAGCAGTTTATCTGTGTTATCTGGGTCACTTAAAAGAGCAAGGCCTTTCCTGCCATGAGTTCAGTAAGGGGTCACCTGGCTATCTCAGCATTTCAGCTCCCTACAGAGGGCAGGGCTGTGGTCTCCAACCCCAGGACATCCAGGTTTCTGAAAGGTCTGGACAGACTTTTCCCTCCTCGTGAAGCTCCATTGCCAGGACCTCCATTTGCCCCCTGGCCACCTGCTTGTTGGTTCATCTCTCAGTGTAGCTAGCGTTTAACAGCTGTCACTTCTGTGAGGCAGGCAGCAGTGTCCCAGGCCTGTCCGGCCGACCCTCCCGGTACGGTTTTCTACAAGGACAAACTGGCCCTTCAGCCACACCCCAAATGCCTCACCAAATGGTTTTGGCTTTTCATAAGAATCTGCTGCCACCCATCTGCCCAAACCTCCCCCTCACACAGCTGTGGGAAAGCTGCAGGCCCTCGATGGTCAGCACACTAGCGTTTTATGTGACAGGACTACGGCATTTCAGTTATCGCTACAGCTAGTTCCTTGGCTGAAAGAATGAAAGGAAAAGTTGTGACTTCCCTGGGATTTCTTCAGGCATTTGCCTGTTGCTAATACTCCTCTCTCTCCGAGAGTGGTCCCACATTCTACAGGGGCCCAAGCAGCAGCAGCTTTCCTGGGTCCCGGTCCATCAGTGACCTTCGCAAGGCTGCTAGGCGGGCTCCGGTTCCTACGGTCACCCTGGCTGTGTCTCTCCCTGGCCTCCAGGGCAGGGCTGGGTCTGGGCCAGCAGTACTACACCCCTGGTTTAGGTGGGCTCCCATACCTGCCTCTGGCTGGCAGTGTACAATGCACATTGCAGCCCCGCCCCACCTCCCTCCCCTCTGCATCAGGCTCACTGTAATATTGGCTTCTGGCAGGGTCAGAACGGCGCCAGCCCTTTATACCCTGGGCTGGCAGCACAAAGGCCTACGCACTGCCCGCCGGCTGTCGCTACGGGACAAACGTCCGGGCACGCATTGAACGGAAGAGTTACCACCGTTTCACGCCGCTGTGCTGGTGTCTCTCCGAGTCCCAGCTCCCTCAGGCCGTCTCCTCAGCAGAGACAATTAAGATTTATGGGGCCCTGGGTACAAAGAGCATTTAGGCCCCCCATGGCCTGGAGGCCCAGGGGTACCAGAACAGGGGGTTAGGGCCTCCCCCACTTTATCATGGGCATAGTAGCCTCGGGCAGGTGTGGAGTGGCAATGGCTGTGCTTCCTGCCGGGGGGAGCTGATGCTCCTGCTAGCAGTGCAGCCTCTTACCAGTGTGGGGGTCTGAGGTGGGCCTTAGACCCCCCACCTCGCCACAGGGCCCTGCCCCCTGCTCCTCCTCTTCCCCCCAAGGCCCAGCATTCCTCAGCTGCAACATCAGCCTGGTCCAGTGCCGCCGACGGCCAGTGTTGTGGGCAGCCCACCCAGGGCCATCAGTGAGAGGTGTGGGGCTGCTCCTTGGGCCTCTGGCCACTGCCCCCACCACAGCCCCAGGCCCCCTGTGCCCTCACTGCCTGCCCTGGGCTTGCTTCACTGCAGAAATGGACCACGCCTTCCTGAAGGGCCTGACTGTGATTGACTTGAGCCTTAGCCAGTCAGCGCTGGAGGATCTGCTGCTGGAGGAGGTGCTGCATGCCGAGAGGCTGGAGGCCCAGACCCACTGGCGCACGCTGCAGCTCAGCATCCTGCAGCTGGAGGACAAGCTGCAGGACACGGAGGTGAGAAGGCGTCACTGGCCCAGCACGGAGAATGGCTCCCTGCTAGGGCCAGCTCACGCCTCCCCCCGATGCCAGGCCTGCCTGGAGGGTGCTGCGGGCACCGCGGGAGCAGCCCCAGCCCCCAACTGCCCCTGCCCCGGCGGGAGGAGGAGCCTCAGCCTGTTCTTAGCCACACGGGCATTGCTCCCTGGCTGATGCTGGGCCTGCCCCCCCATGGCACCCGAGCCCCCCGTCGCACCCTGTGACACCTGAGCTCCCCGCCACGCCCCTGTGATACCTGAGCCCCCCCCACCGTGTCCCTGTGACACCTGAGCTCCCCACCACGCCCCCGTGATACCTGAGCCCCCCACAATGTGTCCCTGTGACACCTGAGCTCCCCGCCACGCCCCCGTGATACCTGAGCCCCTCGCCACGCCCCAGTGACACCAAGCCCCCCCCACCGTGTCCCTGACACCTGAGCTCCCCGCCACGCCCCCGTGATACCTGATCCCCCCCACTGTGTCCCTGTGACACCGAGCCCCCCCCACTGTGTCCCTGTGACACCTGAGCTCCCCGCCACGCCCCCGTGATACCTGAGCCCCTCGCCACGCCCCAAGTGACACCGAGCCCCCCCCACCGTGTCCCTGACACCTGAGCTCCCCGCCACGCCCCCGTGATACCTGAGCCCCCCCACCGTGTCCCTGTGACACCTGAGCTCCCCGCCACGCCCCCGTGATACCTGAGCCCCTCGCCACGCCCCAGTGACACCGAGCCCCCCCCACCGTGTCCCTGACACCTGAGACCCCGCCACAGGACAGCTTAGCCCCCCCATGACTCCTGAGCTCCCCCAGTCGCTGTGACACCCCCCACCCCCAACGCTGGGACCCACCCCCTGCTCTCTGTGCAGGAGGAGTTGCTGGAGCTGATCTTGCAGCCCTCGGGCCCCCTGCTGGAGGAGGAGGAGTTCCTGCCCCTCGTGCGGCTGCTGCAAGGCCGGCTTGAGACCCAGCGCGCCGGCCACCAGCACCTGCTCTCCCTGCGCCAGCACCCCCTGGCCGTGCAGGCCAAGTACCGGCAGGTGGGGCGCCTGGGGGCAGCGCTGCACCAGGCCCTGCGGCAGGTGTGCCGCCTGCACCCCTCCTACCGCTGCTGCCCGGCCCGCTGCGTGGCCGTCGCCCGCAGGGCCCTGCTCGCCACCAAGCGCGCAGACGCCAGCAAGCTGGAGGCGCTGGAGGCGCGGCTGCTGGAGCTCAGCACGCGCCTGTCCCGCCAGCTGCTGGCCCACGCTCAGCCACGCCTGCAGGAGCCGCACAACCTGCTCCTCAGCTTCCTGGGGGCCCTGGCACCCCTCCGTCTGGCCGGCCAGCTCAGCCCGCTGGACTGGCTGGCCTTCTGCCAGGGCCTGCAGGCACCTGCAGCCGAGCAGCTGCTGCAGCCAGCCAGGGCCGCGAGGCCGGGCTGGGTGCGTGCCGCAGCCTGGCGCGAGGGCGGGCTGCTGGAGTGCCTGCCTGGCTTCCGGGGCCTGCGGGCCTCCCTGGCCGAGCAGGCTGCCCAGTGGCAGGAGTACTTTCGCCTGCCCGCCACGGTGGTGGGCCCCGCCCTGTGCCCCAGCCATGCCCACCTCAGTCTCTTCCAGCGGGCCATGCTGTGGCGCATCTTCTGCCCCGAGAAGCTGAGCGGCGTGCTCCGCGACCTCACCACCTGCCTGCTCGGCCGCCCTATCGCCGAGGATGCCACCTACAGCGCTGCCGGCATCTACACCTGCAGCCAAACCGACCTGCCCCTGCTCTTCCTCACCCCACGCTGGGGCCTGCCCGGAGCGGCCACACACCCGCTGCACTGGATCCGGCAGATGGCCAAGCAACGGCACTGCGTAATGCCAGCCCCTGCTGGGGCCGCACCTGGGGGGCAGCATGGAGGGAGACTGGTGGAAGAGGGGCAGCGAGGTGGGGTGGGGGAGGGGCCTGGGGGGCACCTTGGTGGGCGGGGCCAATGGAGGGAGGTTGGTGCAGGGGAGGGCATGGCTTGGGGGGACAGCAAGGTGGGATGGCCACTAGGGGTGCTGGTGTGGGCACTGGGGTGCGGCGGGGGCAGGGTGTCCCGTGCTGGTTGCTGGGCGACTGACCCAAGCAGGCCTGAGACCCCCCTCCCGCGGATCCCACACCCCTGCTTGGGCAAGGGCCAGGCCGGCTGCACTGCCCTGCGGGGAGCTGGGGGGCAGGGCACTGACGCCAGGCCGGTGTAACCTGCTTCTTCTGCAGCTGGGCATCGTCGTCATCTCCCTTGGCACCCCGGGCTGCATGCACCATGTGGCCGAAGCCCTCGGCACCTGCCCCAAGTTGGGCCACTGGCTGGTGCTGAACAACTGCCACCGCCAGGAGTGCTGGCCCCCGGCGGTGCTCACGCAGCTCAGCAAGCTCCAGAGAGCCCCTGAAGGTGAGGGAACCTCACCTCCCCCCCACCCCGGACCCCAAATGCTGTCCCACCACGGCCTCGCCCTGCGCCTGGCTGCTCCTGGGAGTCGCTTGCCTGCCTGCACCCCCGCGGCAGCTTCCCCTCCAGCCGCCTCCCGGACCTCCCCATCCCGTGAGCAGACTCCCACCCCTCCATGTCCTGCCCGCCCCGCAACCGCGGCATGAGGATTTCTGTGCCTTTGTCTCTTACTGCAGGGGGGGCGAAGGCCCCTGATCTGCAGCTGGCAGACATGAAAGGGGACGAGATCCACCCCAAATTCCGCCTCTGGCTCATCGCTGCAGCTGATGCCACAGGGGCCGTGCCAGGTGCGTTGGTACCCTGCTGCGTCTGCCAGACCTGAGCTCTGCCTACCCAGCACACGGTGCCCCTTCCTCACAGGCCGCAGCGCACCGTGTGGGGTGAGGCCAAGCCCAAGCCACCCATGGGCCGGGCCCTGTGGGCTGTGGGGGGAGGCGCCGGGTGCAACGTGCGCTCTGGGCGGCAGCAGGCCCTGCCGTTAGCGCCCTGGGGCGCCCGCGTTAGTCCCTAAGTGGCGCCATGTGGGGGCCAGGCGCGGAGGGGTGACGGCCGTCTGTACCCCTGCAGGAGCTGTGCGCCGCAGAGCAGTGACGCTCTTCTGCGAGACCCCCCAGGAGCTGAAGAGCAGCCTGCAGCGCAGCTACGGCCAGCTGCTGGGCCAGCCGGCCTGGCGTGCCACGCAGGAGCACGGGCTGGCCCTGCTGGTGCTGCACGCAGTGCTGCTGCACAGACAGCACTACGGCAGCCTGGCCCAGGCCCGGCTCTACCCCTGGTGAGTGCGGCCGGCCCGACCCCCCGCTTCCCCAGCTGCCCGAGGTCTCACCGCCTGCTGTGTCCCCCAGGAGCGAGGCGGAGCTGTTCGCAGGCCTGAGGCTGCAGGAGCGGCTGGCGAAGGTGGTGTCCAACCCTGAGGAGGCCATGCAAGAGCTGGCAGGTAGGGAGGTGGCCAGAGCCCATCCTGCCTCCCAGGAACACTTGGGGCAGCAGCTGGGCCCATCCCTGCCCTCGCCCTCCGCGCGGTGCCCCGGAGCTCAGGCTGGCTGGGCCCAGGGCCGCGGGTCAGGGCCGTGACGGTTCCTTGCTGTTTCAGGGTCGATTCTCTACGGCGGTTACATCCTGGATGCTGGGGACACAGAGGCCGTGCAGAGCTTGAGCCAGCAGTGCCTGGGCCGTGCCTCGCGTCTGCTGCCCCCCCAGGGGGTGCAGACCCTCCTCACCGCCCTCATCAGGGGCTCCAACCTGGGTAAGGAAGTGCCCCTGCTGCCCAGTCTGCTCCCCCAGGGGTGCAGGGAGCCCTGGAGGGCGCTGCATGCCCCCAGCAGGCACAGAATGGGGCTGGAGCTGGAGGAGAAGGGACATGGGGACGAAGGGGGCTGCGACTGACTGTAGCTTTCTGCCCCCAGCTCTGCCGGCAGAGGACGTGATCGCAGACACCCGGGCCCGCATACAGCAGCTCCCGGACCCAGCAAACCCAGCCTCCTGTGGGCTGCACAAGGGCCTACAGCAGCAGCTGTTAGAGAGCCAGAGCTCAAGCCTGCTCGCAGACCTGCTGCGTTCTCAGGACCTCTGGCAGCCCACCCCCCCGCCGAGCACCCAGCAGGGAGCCTTGGGGCAGCTGGTGCAGCAGGGGCTGGAGCTGGTGCAGGAGCTGCAGGACACGCTGCAGCAGCGAGGCTGGGAGGTGGGGGCCAGAGGGCATCTCCCAAGTGGGCGCACACGGCCGAAGCCCCGGCCCCTGCTTCGCTTCCTGCTGGAGGAGTGTGGCAGCTTCCTGGCCCTGCTGCAGCAGGTGGAGCGGGACCTGCTCTGTGCTCAGGAGCAGCTGAAGGGGCGGCCCTGCCAGATCCCACGCTGCTCCACCATCCTGCGGGCACTGGAGCGGGGACGCCTCCCCCGCCCCTGGCTGCCCTATGCCCCCACTGGCCCCCAGGACCCAAGCAGGTGGCTGCAGACCCTGAAGTGTCGCTGCCGGCTGCTGTGCGGGTACCTGGGGATGGCGGCTGGGCAGCCTGCGCTGCTCTACCACCTCTCTGCCTTCCAGTACCCACGGCGCCTCCTGCTGGCACTGCTCCAGGAAGCAGCCCGGGTCGAGAAGAAGGACCTGGACCACTACCACCTGGACCAACAGGTAATGCCACCCCTCTGACGCGCAGGGCAGGCTCGCTGCTCCTGGGGAATCCTCCTTGGCCCCTCCCCAGGGCCGGCACCGGCCCTCCTGATCCTCCGCTGCTCTTCCAGGTGCTGCCCTGCTTGCTACCGCCCAGCTCCCCCCCTGAAAGCGGGCTCTACCTGACCGGCCTGGAGCTGCACCACGCCCTGTGGGACACGCGTTCAGCCCTGCTCCAGGAGACGCTCTCGGCCCAGCCCTGCCTGCTGCCCCCCATCTGGGTGCAGGCTGTGGGGGAGGCCTGGCACGCTCCAAGGCCCAACGCTTCCCTACTGCAGTACAGCTGCCCTATCTACCTTGGCCTGCCTCAGCAGCCTGTGCGCTTGAGTAGCCAGCGGGCCGTGATGCACCTGGCGCTGCCCTGCAAGATGCCACCTGCCCTGTGTGCCCAGCACCGGGTGCACATTGTCAGCACGCTGCCCTGCCTGGAATAGAGGAGAGAGCTGCTGTGTGGGACGCAGCATGGCCCTCGGGGGAAGAGCAGCCACAGGCCACCCTGTTACCCTGCCCCCACGCTCCAGCGCAGCCCCACGAGGGCTCAGGACTCGGCTCGGGTGACCAGCAGGAATCACACAGCACAGCTCTGGGACTGCCCAAAGGAACAGGCTGCAGCTGCGATCCCCCCATCACCAGCGCAGCAGCTGCAGCCAGACCCCCATGGGCCCCTCTGGGGGCGTGGCCACATCAGTGGAAGATACTCAAGGGGGCAGTTTGGCAGCGCGGTTTGTGCAGCTCCCCAGACACAGCCCCAGGTACAGAAATAGATTGATATATTAGTGTGTACAAAACATGCTGCCTTTGCTTTCTGTCCAGGCCCCTGGCTGTGTGCAGGGCCCTCCCTGCCAGTCCCATGTCCAGGCGCGCACACATATAAATAAGGCTGAGGCAGGCTGGATACAGTATTTACAGCCCTGCAGAGGGGCTGAGGCCTGCTCCGGGGCCTGCCCTGCGGAGCCCAGGTGCTGTGCCCGGCCTGCGGGATCCTCCATCCCATCCCGGCTTGGCTGGGGCTCATTTCAGGTCGACGTCAAAGTCCAGCACCAGCAGCTTGGTCTCCTCGGTGCCATTGCGGCTGCCCACAGCACACACCAACTTCGTGTTGGAGGCGCGAATGCGCCACACCACCCCCCCGCTGCCCCCACTCTCCAGGGCCACCAGGTTGCGGACAAACTCGCCCGTCTTGAGGTCCCAGAGCTTGACGGTGCCGTCGTCCGAGCTGGTCACCACGAACTTGGAGCTAAACTGGAGGCAGGTGACGGCGCTCTGGTGCTTGCTGGGCCCTGGGGGAAAAGCACCATTAACATTAACCTGCTGCGCTGTCCCCGGCCTCGCAGGAGGCTGACGCAGCGAACCTCACTGCACCCCCGCGGCCTGGGTCCGCACCACACCCCCAGCAGTATCTACCCCGGCCCAGCCGGGCAGAGAGTCGCCCCATGCGCTGGCTGAGGACAGGGCTGCCCCCACCCCGCCCCACTTACCCTGCAGTGTCTGCAGGCACTGGCCTGTTTTGATGTCCCAGATCTTGACGGTAGAATCTGCGTTGCCCGAGACCAGGATGTTGTCCCGCAGCTCCATGCCACTGGTGAGCGACTGGTGCCCCATCAGCGTGTGCAGGCAGTTACCGCTCTCCATGTCCCACACCCGGATCGACGTGTCCAGAGAGCCACTCACGATGTGCGTCCCATCAAACTGCCCGGAAAGAGACCGGGTGAGCAGGGCTGCCCCTTCAGCAGGGAGCAGGCACGGCCCAGGCAACCCCGGGGGGGGCCTGGCACATCCTGGGCATGCAGCAGGAGGGGCTTGGGCAGGAAGCAAACCCAGCTGGTGTGAGAGGGAGTGTTCTCGCCTGGGGGGGGTGGGGGGGTCTCACCTAGGGGCAGGGCCTGGGAAAGGGGCAGGGTCTCGCCTAGGGGCGGTGCCTAGGCAGGGGGCAGGTCTCACCTAGGGGGCGGCGGCGCCTGGAAAAGGGGCAGTTTCTGGGCAGGGTCTTGCCTGGGGATGGTGCCTAGGCAGGGGACAGGGGTTGGGGTCTGGGCAGGGTCGCACCCAGGGGCGGGATCTCACCTGCAGGGAGTAGACGCGGTTGGTGTGGCCCTGCAGTGTGTGGATGCAGCTCTCACTCTCTGGGTCCCACACCTTCACCGTGTAGTCGTAGGCGCCGCTCACCACTTTGTGCCCATCGTACTGGACACAGCGCACGGCAGCCACGTGCCCCATCAGCACGTGCAGACACTGCCCGGTCTCGATGTCCCAGAGGCGCAGCGTGGCATCCCGCGAGCCGCTCACCACCCTGCAGACGACAGGCACACTGAGCAGCAGCAGCCCCGCCATGCCCCGCTTCCCCCCTGGCCCAGCAGCCCCGCCTGGGATGGGCCCCTCTACCCGGCCCCCCTCCTGTGTGGGCTTCCCCTGCCCCACTGATTAGCTCCAAAGTTACCTGCCCCCGGGCAGGTGCCCTGCCCCCCCTGCTCCCATCCCTGCGCCCCCACCCCAGGGTTACCTGCTCCCGTGCAGGTGCATGCAGCGCACAGTGGACGTGTGTCCGTACAGCGTGTGCACACACTCGCCCGTGTCCGCGTTCCACACCTTCAGCGTCCGGTCCGTGGAGCCGCTGATGACGATGTTGTCCCTCATCTGGGAGGACCAGACCCCCCCCGTGTGACCCACCAGGGTCTGCACACACTGCAGAGAGCACGAGAAAGTCAGGGGGGGGGCAGCCACAGGCGGAAATCCCAGGTGTGAGAACAGCCAGGCCCAGGCTGAGGCCACCCCCAGCCCCCTGCAGAGGGAGCAGATACCCCATTAGGAACAGCAGCGTGGGAGCAGCCAGCCAGGCTGCTCAGCCACCCGCCCCTGTGGGGCCCAGGGACACTGCAGCCCCAGCTGCAGGCCGGGCTCACCTCACCGGTGACGGCTGACCAGACCTTCAGGGTGTTGTCGTCGGAGCCACTGACAATACGGTTGCCACAGAACTGCAGGCAGGTGATGACATGGTCGTCATGTCCCTTCAGGACCTGTGGAGGGAAGAGCCGGTAACAAGGGAGCCAGCCTGGACAGACCTCCCCCTCCCAAAGGAAACAACCAGCACTGGAAGAAGTGGGAATTTTTTGGAATATTTTCATGACCCCATGTGTGCCTCAGTTTTCCCTGGGTGACTCAGTCTCCTTAGGGTGGTGGTGGAAGGGACTGAGTTTGCTCTTGGGGCAGGTGAGGGGACATAGTTGGGTGTCACCTGCCTGTCACGGAAGATGTGCTTGGAACCCACCCAAATTGACAAGGGGCCAGAGAGCCCTTGAGTTTCTGGCCGTGCAGGGGAGTGGAGAAGGGAGGGTGGGAGGGAGGGGAGAAGTGCTGGCTGCTGGAGGGAGCTGGTCGGAGGGAGAGCAGCTTGGCTGGGCTCTGGGACACTGACCAGCACGGTCTATGCTTTTACCCTCATGTCTCTGGCTCACCGGACTCCCTGCGCTGTGTCCAGCAGCCCCACAAACCCGACTGGTCTGAACTCTGCCTGCTGTCACGGCAAACAGCCTGCCAGGGCAGAGCTCGCGGCGGCATGCAGGAGGGCACGCAGAGGCTGTCTCAGGCCGCGAGGCAGCGGCGTGGCACACCCTGAAGGAAGCGAGAGACCCCTTGGCATGTGCAAAGGGTTTCTCCAAGAGACGTTCCAATGCTGGGGGCGTAGCCCCGACCTGGGGATCTGTGACAGGGCTCCACTCCAGACTCAGAGTAACATCCACCTAGACTGCAAATGGCCTTCCCCAGGCCCCCCCAAGAGGCTGCTACAGAAGCGAAGTCACCAGGGGGGTACAAAGCAAAGTTCTGCCCTGGATCAGTGCTATGGCCCAGCTTTGGACCAGTCTCTGGGAGGACTCCGGGGGGGTCTCACTCTTCCTCCAGGGTCAGCCACGTGGCCTCACTGCTGCCTCAGCCTGGACTTCCGGGCACCTGCAGCACACATGAGTTTCATTCAGCAAGTGCGAGGCAGAGGCCTGAGGGAGCCGCACACCCCCCCGCCAGCGTCTGCAGGTGTGCAGCCAGCGTTCCCCAGCAAAAGAGTGTGTTTGTTGACTGAGGCCGCGGTGAAGCCCTTGGTAGGACAGAGAACAAAACGTTACACCACAGTCCATCTGGTCAGCCCAGAGCCCCAGGCCCCCCCTCTGTCCCAGTTCAGGTGTGTGCCGACTGCTTCCCACAGCCCAACTCTTAACTCCCGCCTCACCCCCCAGCCCCTTGGTCCCAAGCTGGGGGAGGCGGCTCAGCCCCCTGCGGAGAGGTGGGGAGTCCCGCTCTCTCTGAGTGTCCCTGTCTGGGCAGCTGGATTTGCCATGGTCCTCCCAAGAGCGCCGCTGCTGTGGAACCTCAGGCCCCAGACAGGGAGGTGCTATTCACACCCGTGTCTTACCCTGCCCAGAAAGCAGGGGACAATGCAGGATACGGGGGAAACTGAGGCACACAAAGCTTCATAAAAATATTACAAAAAATTCCTACTTCATCACAAGTACAAAGCGGCCAGGAGACAGAAAGCGAAGAGCCAGGTCACTGGTTCGTCCACCCGCGAGCGGGAGCTGAAGGTTCTGGACTAGCTCCCATCTTGGGTGATGTATTTATTAGTGATCAGGAAAGTGGGGGAGCAGGGAGGGGAAACACTGGGGTCAGTCGAGAGCAGAGAGACTGAATCCAGCTGGGGAATGGACAGGACGACAGCCATGAAATCCCATGTCAATAAGTGCAGAGTAACGTGCACGGGCGGGGGGTGTCCGTAAACCAGGACACCTCACAGGAGGCAAAATTAACCCCTTCAGCTCAGGGATGGGTGCTGGGTGCCACTATAGGCAGCCCAATGGAGCCCTGCAGGCAAAACTGCCAGAAGCTGTTGGCTGCACCAGGGATGGGATGCGAATGCCTTCAGGTCACTCAATGGTGCAGCCCCGTCTGGACGCCGCACAGTACTGGCCCCCATATCCCCCAGGGCAGTGCTAACGGGCTGGCAGGAATCACCAAGGGCTGGGAACAACTCTCCTATGGAGAGAGATGGAAAAGATTGGGATCGTTACTTGAGAAGGCAGAGAACAAGAGGGACATGGAAAATGTCTATAGATCCTGACGGGGAAAGAAACCAGGGGCTTCCGTTCTCCCAGTCCCATAGCACTGGGACAAGGGGACAGTCAATGACACGGAAAGGAGAGACACTGTGCAATTAGCCTGTGGAACTCACTGCCACAGATCTTCCAAGCTGGCCTCTGAATGGCTCGAAAGCTGCTCTGACCTCACCAACCTCGTCTTTCTAATGCCCTGAGATCAACCCGCTACAGCAACTCTGCAAGGAAGGGAAGGGAAGGGCTCCTCCTCCTGCACCAGGGCTTAAGCCCATCTGTGCCCATTAGAGCCCAGGTTCCCTAGAACTACCTCCTGCGGGTTCCTGCGTCTTCCGCCGAGGCACATGGTGCTGTCCTGCAAGGCACCAGGTACGATGCAGGCTGGACCTGAGTTTGACCCTGCCTGACAGGCCGTGTTCAGCTGCACTGTCAGACCATGGGGGAAAGCCTCAAGGCAGAACACTGGCCTAGGTGCTCAGAGACCTCAGTTCAATGCTGTCACTCAGCAGCTCGGTACCTCAGTTTCCCCTCTCTGCAGTGGGGATGACGGTCCTGTC